ACATATATTAACTAAAATACTAGTTAAAATACTAGTTGTGGCTAGTAAGTTAATATACTACCTTATCACCTTTGACATCCGGTAGATATATGGGCTGATTTCCTATTTCTCTCATAGGGGATATATGGGCCCCTATTATGTTGGCTAATAATAATAAATGACTATGGATTAACAAATTCATGTATGGATAGGAAATTATAAGCCAACGCCCTATTATACTTGTGTGTTGTATAGCCAATTTAGGCAGCCTATAATTTCTCTAAGGACAATAGATATATTCTCTAGAATTGTAGGTATATTACTTCCTAACCAAGTATAAAAGGTTAACTATGGATTAATAATCACATTTTTTTATTAGCCCCTGTTTATGAGAGAGTATTAGGTTACCCTCGCTAGCCTAATTCAAACCCTATAGAGTTTAAATATATACAGCCCCTAAAATGGTCAACATAGGATTGATAAAATATCTATGATAAATATAATTTACAATTCACCAATATTCTCTCTAGTTATTAAACTACTATAGCATAATTTATGGGTATGTATTTTCCCTATTGAGGTTACATATTTGTGTTGGAATTAATATGTTAGGTTTGTTCTCCCTAACAAATAGGGAGGGACTGGCTAATATATACCATAATAATAGTTATGATAACGACATGTTTTACTACTTTATATTAGTATATTATACCTTTTCCATTGGAAAGGTGATAACACTTACCACTAATATAACTAATAAAATTATTAATTTACCATGTTATTTTCATTCTTACAATTTCGTGGAAACCCATAACCCTAGAGAATATAATAATGAGAAAATGACCATTGTCCATTGAAGGCCTATTCTCATAACGTTTGCCATAGATTAACAATAGAAGAAATGACCCACCATTATAAGCTAGAATGCTCCTTCCAAGGTCTATTAGAAAATAATGATATTAGAGAAAAGTATATTGTTAGACCAATGAGTTAACTCATAGGGATAATTATCTTAGATGCATAATAAACTCGTTATTCCTCCCTATGGGCCTATTACATTAACGGTGACCTTATATACCCAGCATATTAACCCATCAAATTAACTATATGACCTAGTATCGCCATTGTCCATGACCAATGATATTCCAAATAGATAAAATTTATAGGCATAATTATAATTATAAGTTAGGGATGGCCCTCCTATAATCCAAACCTATGACTATTATTAGACTATTTACTTTGTCTATAATCATGGGGCTAATTATTATATTTTATCTAGAGACCTTATTATTTCAAATCATCCCTTCTATTATGAGTACCCCTTCTATTTACATTAATAATAGTATTAACCAATTATTAGATTAAAAAAATGTAATACTCTATATAATGAGGGAATCCTTTTACCTTGAGGTAAATACTATTAGTGTATGGTCCTTATTTATGGTATAAGGGATAATGTCAAAAGGAATCCTCGATCCACCTCTTTCATTATATTATACACATATCCGAGTGTATAATTCGGATACCGGATATCACCTATATTAGTTTGAAGATATCCTTTAATATTAATATTAAGTTTAATACCAATATGTCCGACTAAATAGTTATCATAATAATTGGATCCTTCAATATAATAGGATATCTTCAAACTAATATAGGCGAATAATGGGTATACACATACCCTCATAATACTTTCACCATAAATCTTGACCCTAATTAGTATATAATTAGATAATCATACTACAATTATTGGACATAAGGTAAATAATTATAAGAGGAGACATATTGTACTAGTATATGTTAGGCTAATTATCCTATAGATAATTGGTAGCTAAATAATTTTATAGTTATGGTAAATATTATATGAAAAATAATGTATTCTTAATTATAAGATGGATATTGAATTGAGTTTGTGGAATGTAATATGTCTTTAATCACTAATTATCCTCACATTCTAGTAATGCCATTAACGGAGTATATGGTTATAGCCAATAATAATTCATAAAATATCTTTTGAATTATACCATAGTGGACAATAGATTACCCTAAGAGAAAAAAATATAAGGATAAATACCTTGTTAGATATTACCTAAAGTGACTTGATAATATATAGTATGCTATTAATATAGAGGTGAATTAACCAAATTAATAACCAGGCTCACAAATACCTATGACTAACCAAGAATAGGTGTTGATTTCCTTTTAAGATGGAGGAAGCATAATATAGCAATTTAAATGTTATAAAGGATGATTATTTATAACCGAGTATAACCACAAGTAGGGCCTAAATTAATTGATGGATGGTAATAATTATCCGGGTTGACCATTACAATATAATGGACACTCTCCGGTGTAAATTGAACTAATAAAAGTCATGATTATGGTATAGGATAACTATTAATATATCATACCCAATATTTATTAGCTCGAATGTTATTGAACATGGGCTACAATGTATTTGTAGGAAATAATGAGGTTGTTTATCCTAACCCTATATCCCTCTCTACCATTAAAAGAGGTATGGATCCTATAGCTAAATGATTGAACCTTAGGCTATAGGCGTATACTCATTCTCAAATGTTGACTTAACCCTAAGATAAGGATATTTACACATCCGTTGCATTTGCATTTGTAGTTACCTAAATACCATTGTATTATTTAATATTATTAATTCGTTGAATAAGTCTCCCATGTTAAATATTAGACAATTACTTATATTAATTTAATAGGGACTAAATCATGATTGAATGGCAACCTTGAGGGTATTATATATACATGATTTAATAGAAAATAATTGGTAGTTGAGTTAACAATTTGAGGGCTTATACCTATTTAGATATCTTATATAATGTTAATAGGGATAGCTTTAAATGGATAGGGAATAGTAACTTTTCTTGGTAAGGTTAACATATTCTTAATATAAACTTGATCACTTGATTTATATTATACTCGGATACATAATTGGGACTCGTATATATGTTAACAACTATACTAACCATAACCAAACAACCTCTATGATATGGGACGATTGATAGGCCAATATACACGAGTAATTATTAGAATGCTCTAACGTTCGGCTAATTAAGGTAATATTTAGTCACTTTAGGCCTTAGTCTATTACAAGACATATTATAGCTAGCCATTAATAACTATATGTTAACAACCTTAATAGGATGACTTAAACCCAATATAGTTATGGGATAATAGATGGGTATTATAAATTTTGGCAAGCCAAGAACTATATTATCTAAGGAGAACACTATTGAACCATCCATATTAGGGTAAAATCCCTATAAGGTATAAGCCAATCTTAATATAATGATTGTTATATAATATCTATGGGATCTTATAAATTTTCTTCAAAACGATGGAGTGAATTAATTGGGTATTGATAATATAGCGGTAAGGAATTATTACGTCAAATACATTAATGGTCAGGCAATAACATGATATGGGGATTGTTATATTGATACAAATCTAGAAGGAAAAAATATTACTAATAAATAGGGCAATCTCTTTTGCAATATTAATATAAAAATTATGATATATTGGATCAATGAGGTAAGGGTCATTATATTATAATATGTTCATCGTATTTATCAAATAACACCCTATTAGTATGTTATATGATAACAACATAGGACCTACTATTGTAGAATAATTGATCATACCATGTTATATGATAACAACATAGGACCTACTATTGTAGAATAATTGATCATACCATTAGCTAGTCGAGTTATATCTATTACTTCCTTCATATTTATGATTGACCAAGTCCATGATAATAACTTGTTATTGCACTAGATTGTACTATCATTAATATTAGATTATCATTAATCCCCACGAAGAAACAACCTTAAACTTAAAGGGATCCTTGAATGACATTAATGTCATTTAAGCTATCGAGAGAGTATTTATGATAGAATATCCTCTATGGAACTCGGTTAATAGTCATGGTGATATTTTCATGATGTGGTTCAAATGGTGCAAAATCATCTATCAACCATGATTGCCTACTCAATTTGACTAAACTCTCCTATATTTCTATCTAATACATATTTTTTATCCATTATTAGTTTAGGTATAGAGGAATAGATGAGATAGGGAGGTACATTATCCGATCAACTAATTTTATGGCCTATGGGTTAACTTAATATATCATTAATATCATTATAGTTATGATATTAGCTATCGTCATTATATGTCAACTAGGGAGACAATATATTATTGACTAGGTTCCCTAACCCTACTAATACATTAACCTATCAAATTGACTATATGACCTAGTATCTTCAAGTTAGGTACATTAAATGATCCATAGTTGATCCCTCCATCCCTACTAGGAAAATAGGTGGAGAGGTTAATATTATGGGACCTAGAAATGTTTAAACCAATATTTATCCATATAATAAGGATCTAGATGTATTGCCATAAGTTAATAGTGAAGCATCATATAATGAGTTATTAACCCTACTAATGGTTAAGTGATAGTATTCATGGATAACTATCAATACCTATTACGATAAGGAATATATCCTTGGCATAAATTATAAAATTAATACGCTATTATTATGGAAACATGGGATACTTAGACTATAAACGGAATAATAGTGATCAATATAATCACTATTATAGAAAAATACCTTATCAATAGGATTGTACCATTAATAACCTCTAATTAGTATATCCTTTACCATTTATATTATAATTAATATATGTCATAAGTGACATTTATAGATAGATAGTTGGCAATCCTAAATATAATTATGGTAATGGGATAATTATAATATTTTATATCCGGGTTAATTATCCTTACTCTTATATTTGGGACATAGTTTTCTTTATCGTTAATAGAGCAAACTATAGGAAAAATGTTATCTATAGGATGGTTATCCGAGATATAAACCTCCATACCTATTAATCAACCCAATAGATATCAAAGTAGGGATATTATTATTATGGGCAAGTTAAGGATTACTATTAGTAATCTATAGGAAACTAATAATGTTATCATATAGATAACCAAGTCGAGGGTAATAGTGTGATACTATTCTTTAAAGATGATGGTCACCATAAAGGATATTCCCATATAGGATATTCCCAATATGTGCCCTATGTACCGATGCCCAATATTATAACTATAATGAGGTGACCTATTATGGAGATAATACCAAATGGAATAATGGTTTAATATGTTGAATATGAATTTATAGGATGGTTAGCTTGGTATTAATCCCTATAGTTTGCTCTCTTTAGGCCCATCTATATGACATCATTGATTCCCAGTATCCTTAACTCGAGAGAATAATGGTTTAATAGGATGAATATAGGGGGATCAACCCATATATTGTATGCTTAATAGTAACAATTTTTATTTATACTATTGTATACTATAGCTAATCCCTATATATCTATGTGAGCATATTAAATTAATTATTAGATTTGGTACAAGAGTCATACAATAAGATATAATTACACCATAACTGAATTACTTCACTCTAATAATAGTTTTAGGCTATGAGTATAGGCCAGGTGACACTAGAGAGGGTAACCATAAATCTTAATCATATAGAGATCATACCCTATCCATTATGTTATATACCCATTGTCCTAGCGTATCCACAAGTAATAAAAGGGACCATATCCATCGACTCCTTATTTAAACTGATAGTATTCAATGGAATAATGTATTCCACTAATAGATAGGGCCAAGTGCTTACATTAGGTCTCTTATTAGGCCTAGGGCATAGCCCATATTAGGCCCTTTAACAATTATGATTATTATAACTATTAGCCACTTCATTACTATTATACTTATAATATTACACTATTGTTAGAGTTAATACATAATATGTCCTCCAATTGGTAAAGTATATATATGGTCCCATGTATTGATAGAGTGGCCTAATCAATACCTATACTTTAGGTATGTATTCTCCTACGAGATATTACACAAGGCCATATGAAATGGTAGACCTCCTAACTATTAACTCTTTTACAATGATGATGTAAATATAACATTAGTGTTATGTATCCTAATATTTATATTTTGCCTTTTCGTAGAATGGTTGAATTATATCAATTTAGTTGATGCTAATTAATTATCATTAGGAATTTATAGTTTCCTAGATTAACCGAGCCAAATAAGCATACTATCTACGAAATATGATATAATGCCCTAGGAAATACCTCTTGCTAATAATCATAATTGTTAAAGGGCCCAATATGGGTTATGTCCTCGGCCCAACAAGAGACCTAACGTAAGCATCAACCATATCAACCATGGAACCAATGATAACCCATATTGTAGCTGGGTCTATAGTGGCATACTTTGGGAAAACCATTATTATCCGCACTCATTATGTGTGATCACTAGATAACAAGGATATTGTCAAAAGGAATATCAACTCCTACTCAAGGTAAAGGTTGGTAAATAGAAATTATGAAAATAATGGCCCAATCTATCTTACTTAAGATTCTAGTATAACATAATATAGTAGATAGTTTAGGTAGCCTATCAAATAAAGAGTGTAAATTACTATATGGAAACATAAATGGGAGAGGTGTATCAACTTAATAGATTGAGTGCTCTAGGAGAGCCTACAATAGATGTTCTATAATTATTGCCTATTTATAGTGTATGCTCTAACTAAGAAAAGACCCTAATAAGAGTAGTCCAATATAATTAAGGAAAGATATGAATTTTATCCCATTAGTATGTACAACATGAATTTACTAACGTTGGTGATATATATGGCTTAGACATATCTTAATGTATAGGATAACCCTTAACCAATAATAGCAAACGATGGTTTTCCCAATTAAAAATAGGGATATACCTTCATTATGTTCCACTCTTAGATGGTACGCTACTCATATTAAATGTTTCACCTTAACTAATGTTAGAGAGAATGGCCCAAAATAGTAGTGGGAACAAACATAATATAGACTTATCAAGTTAATATATATAGAATGGATTTGAACTACTCTATTGTGTAGGACTCTTGCTAGTTACTAAACTCCTTAGGGACAATCTTTTGATTCATGAGACTAATTAAAAGATGGTATTGATAGGTGACATAATGTATATAATTGGTAGAGAGAGATTATTAGGTATAATGATAAACCCTAACTCGTCAAAAATACCTATATTCAAGTATTGTTAATACCTGTTATTGATCTAGGGTACACCTTTAACTATGAATTGGATAATCCCTTTTTACCATCAGCTTGTTTATCAAGAGAATAAATGTTCCTCTAACCTAATTAATAAAAGTGGCATTGAATCTATTACACCCGGATATACTATCTTTAAAATAGGCCATTCATAAGTGTAACCTATATCAATTGTTTACTCTATTACTCCACCTTATATATAGTAAGTATATCTCATTTAATCTAATGTCGTGAAATAAATAGGTTTCCATAGCCTACATAGATAATTATCTCGGTAGCTAAGATAGGGGAAACCCAATAATTCGATGTTAAACGAGATTATTGGGCCCATAAATTCATTTTTTGGGATAAGGCCTATGTGGATACTTAGTTATAACTAATCTTGAATATGGCAATAGGCTATATTAACTTATTATAACATGGTAATTGGGTTATTAACAAAGATATAGTTGACCTTGGGTTATCCCCTACACTCGTTACCTTATTAGGCCCGCAATAGATGTACATAAGGCTATTAGTTTAATTACTTCAGCTAATGTGGATACTACTCGTACTCTATTTTCGTTACTTTCAAAATCTCTAGTGAGTCCATCCTTTTTTGTTATTAAAGGGGATTATATGTCCCTAAAATATAAATAGGGGCATAAATTAGGGAAGAGTACTTTCTTGCTTAACCATGATGGGACAAGTATATACCCTTTATAATGTTACCTCATTAATCCCATTAATATGCTCATGTTCCTACCAACATTTGGTGTAATAGTTCTAGACGAGGCAGATTACAAGCTAACCACCTGGTATAACACTAACACAATTGGATAGCTTAGATTTTGTTATCAATGTTATAACCATATTAGGAGTGTTTATACCCATATTTTACTAGATTAGAACATAATATACGTATATGTGTTTTCATAATATACTAGTATAATGACCACAACAATATCTAGTAATTATCGTATTTGATTATAGGTAGATTGGTTATAACATGTTATAACTCAATAACCTAGTATAGAAAGGATAGGGATTACTCAAAGAATAAATGGTAACAACAAATAGGACCAAACAAAAAATAGCAAGGTACGATTATTGATAATTCTTAGATAGAGTCTATTATCCAATTATAGGATATTCTCTTGGGAATGTTAATTATAAGACTGATCAATAGCCATTAATAATAGAGGGAAAGAGATTTTTGGACCCAATTACATCATTTATTTTAATAAATATTTACTAGAGAGAAAATACGATGGATGGTAGAGAGAGGTAAAATGAGGAGAGTAGCACACTATCATTGGTGTGTTTGTAAATGGTAGGGGTATTAATCTGAAATAAGTGTACTATTATTTAAATTGATATACCTAGTTAGTAATCTCTCTCTAACCCGTTCTCATCCTACATTTTAGATTACCAAAATTATTTTGGTATATAATTAGTCATCATCCTACATATCACTAATATGGTAGTATATAAGGTCAAAATATTTAAGTTGGTAGATATCTTGTACCTTGATGATACAAGATAAGGGCTGACTGTTAATAAACTAGCATCTCATATTGCCAATAGGATAATAATCATACTATAGTATAATGAATAACTAGGTTAACCTAACAATGCGCAACGTAATCCATAAATGTGGACCATTATAATTTCCTAGTACACATACAAATATCATTCCAAATAGTCCCTCATTGCCAATCATATTATTTTCAAACCTTCAAAAATATTGTGAAATAAATAGGAGGGATTAAAATAGTATTTTGTACGATATACGTATTGACCATATGATAGGAAAGACCTAGTATGGGACATGAATAATAGATTAATAGGGGGTCCATAATTCCCCAAAACTAAATGGATACATATACCCTATTTAGCTCTATACTATAATATCCTTTAAATAGTGTTATCCTAATATATAATCCTAACAAACATTTCACTAATATCGATATACTATTTGGTTTAGTCAATGGAATAGTACAAACCAATACTTAGTTAATGAGGAATCACTATCTAGTTTGATGTTATAGAAGTAAATATCAAAGTTTACTCTCTCAAAACATTAATAAGAGTTAATAGTCCTCTATGTCAATCGCATAGGCCCAATATACTCACTGAAAAAAAATTGGCATAATATGAATACATTATATATACTAATAGTTTTATGATGCCTAGTGATATCAATATAAACAAAGACCATTAGTCAAATTTATAATGTCTTCTCTCTAAAAAATAAACTATCATCTAGTTTATCAATCCTCTATTATAGAGAATGGATAATTATACCAGGTATCATAAACTATTAGTATATATAATTGATTCATATTATCCCAAAAAAAATTTCAGAGAGTATATTGGGCATTAGGATATTCTTTTGGGGATGTTAATTATAAGATTGATGAATAGCCATTAATGATAGAGGGAAAGAGATTTGTGGACCCAATTGCATTATTTATTTTAATAAATATTTACTAGAGAGAAAATATGGTGGATGGTAGAGAGGTAAAATGGGGGGAATAGCACACTATCGTTGGTATATTTGTAAATGGTAAGGGTATTAATCTGAAATAAGAGTGCTACTATTTAAATTGATATGCCTAGTTAGTAATCTCTCTCTAACCCATTTTCATCGTACATTTTAGATTACCCAAATCATTTTGGTATATAATGAGTAGTCCATCATCCTACATATCACTAATACGGTTAGTATATAAGGTCAAAATATTTAAGGTGGTAGATATCTTGCACCTTGATGATACAAGATAAGGGCTGATTGTTAATAAACTGACATCCTATATTGCCAATAGGATAATAACCATATTATACTATAATGAATAACTAGGTTAACCTAACAATGCCTAACATAATCCATAAATAGGAACCATTACAATTTCCTAGTACATATACAAATAGATTCCATCTAGGAATTATCCGTACCTTGCTATTTTTTTATTGGTCCTATTTGTTGTTACCATTTATTCTTTGAGTAATCCCTATCCTTTTTATACTAGGATATAGAGTTGTAACAAGGGCACTAACATGTTATAACCAATTTATCTACAATCCAATATGATAATTACTGAATATTGTTGTAGTCATTATGCTAGTATATTATGAAAACATATATACGTATATTATCTTCTAATCTAGTAAAATATGGGTATAAACATTCCTAATATGGTTATAATAGTGATATCAAAATCTAAGCTATCCAATTGCATAGGTGTTATACTAGGCTGTTAGCCTATAATCTGCCTCATCCGGAACCATATTATCACTTGAGGGACGTCAATAGGTATAAATGCATCACTCATATACAAAAGAGTTATCCATTTTGGGGACCATTACAATTTCCAGTACCACAAATTTTTATAATATCGTATACCATGATTTATACCCATACTCAAATAAGTATCACCAATAGTTTATCGAATTTTACCAGTTAACAAATGGTCCTTATTATGGCCCTCCTTTTTTCCTTTATTTCAAATAAATATATTAGGTGGAGGATCCCTATTTAGACATTTATGGCTTTCGTCCTCATAATTCAACCTTTTGTATATGGTAGGTCATTCTATCACAGAATTTATTAAAATGAACGTTTGGTAGATATCTTATAAATACAAGTTATACCATTATATATCTATAAATTTTAATAATTAGGATAATTTAAACTAAGTGAGATCCTACTAATCAACTCTTAGTCCATTAAAGTGGTATAAAGGCCGATTATAGTTCGACCCTTAACGTTACCATACTATTGAATTAGATGACCATGACTATTAACAAGGGTTGATCAGGGGTAGCTATACCCAAGTTATATATTTACTAGGGTTAATCTATTATATAAGGAAATCATACTCCCTTTTTAACCAGGTAATTCTTTAATAGTGAAATGTGTATTGGGGGACAATGGTTATTAGGGGAGAGACTTAATAGGTATCCACAACGATAGCTATTATACAATCAAGATTGTACTATTCTCTTTTATAGAATTGAGGAAAGATATGAATTAGGAAAATGGTCAATTTAACCCTAAGGTAGAGTAAAAAAAGGCTCTAATACCCTCATTCCAATAGGCCAAAGAGGTATTAACTTGGCCTATTAGATCTATTAATTAAATTCAATGTCTGTTATACTCAATAGGACGTAATAGCCCCCTAATAAATATTTTAGATATGGGAAATCTATGTCTTTAACCATAATTAACCCTATAATCAGATTTATCCTCATCTAATATTGTTTAGATATCGAAATAGAATGTATTTCCCCAATATAGTCTCCTATTTAAAGTTGAATAAACTAGTATACATATTACCCATATTGATTTTAACATTTGGATATTTGATAAATAACCTTTATATGTTTCACGATGTTAATGCAACCTTTTGAATGGGTGATATCACAAAGGCTATTGATAAATCATTTATGACGGCAATAGGCAATAGGTAAATGATATTTACCAATAATACTTGTTTATATCCACAAATGCCTATGATAAATATCTTATCCTTGTTCAACATCTTACTATTAGTTTATATCCATAATAGTACTATTTACCCCCGTAAAATTTGCACATGCAACCATTTTGAAAGTAATTTATAAATGTGTATTATAGGTAAATATCATTTACCTATTGTCCATTACCGTCATAAATGATTTATCAATAGCTTTTGAGATATCAACCGTTCAAAAGGTTCCATTATCATCGTGAAACATATAGAGGTTATTTATCAAATATCCTAATGGTCCTCGTAAAATATGATGGTGTACTTGGATTAATAAAATATTAATGATAGAATAGAATAGGTGTATCATGGTGGGATTGTTATCAATGGTCATTTTATAGGGGCATAATTGGATAGCTATGAATACACGATTATTATTATGTATTATGCGTATGGTAACGACTACTCTTGATCGAGTGAGGAATTACATTGATCGTATAATGTACCCACCAAGTATTTTTGGTGTTTTGTATATTAGAGATGATTTTTAAGAAAACATAAATACATTATGATGAGTAATAGGGGTAGGAATTATCGAGTTGGTGGGAATAAAATTTAGGCTATCGGGAATAATATTAGCAATAATGCCCATAATTGAGGTATGCATAGAAGAGACTAAATCATGAATGTTTGATAAAGAGGACCAAGATTGTGTATCTTTAATGAGTTGTTTGAAGATAATAAGGTTAATATTGGGAAACTTTTATTGGTTATAATACCATTATAATCTCTATTTTAAATACCTATTGTTCAATAATATCTAATCATAAGATTTTGAAATATTTTAACTCTATGAAAGGTGGATAATCCGGTCTGGTTATATTAGAATTGACGTATTAGACTAATTTACCCACTAAACATACCCACCAAATAGGATTTGGGCCTAAGTTAACTTATTAATAGATTATGTATTCAATCACAGAGTTATAGAGGTTATCTCTTATTAGGATGTTATCATATGGTTGTGATATAGCCATTATATTAATGGGTAAACTAGTTATATTCATATTAGGTTACATATTATAAATATACATAGTTATGAATATATTAACTAGGACTCAATATTATTCACTTATTAATAATGGATATAGGGACCCAGGTATAACCCTTTTATTTTGATAATATATTCTCTCCATTGTAAGGGTTGGTTACAATATTATACTTGGGTTATAAATACCCTTAAACATATAGCTATTCGAATAAAGGTGTACCCACGAGAAATTATAATGTGTTTTTATTTGGTCATTGATGGTCTAGTATAGTTTATGCATGAATTGGCTGACTAATTATAGCTAAATATTATACATAGGGTATTACCAATATAGTCTTAATGTATATCCCTAATATTACTCTCCTTAGATAATACTAATATACCCATTTGAGTTTTGTCTCTATTGTGATAAATCACTAATAGTATTACTTAGTTTTCGTGAGTAATATCCTAAGGATGGTTTGATAACAACTATGGAATGCCTCTTAGTGGATAAATCCTATTCTTAATGACGGTGACTAAATAGGCATATCTTAGGATACTTTGACTATCCTCGAAATTATGCCTAAATTAATTTTTCCTATTAGAAGTATTATAGTATAAAACCTATAAAATAATATGTATAATAAAGCATTATTTGGAATCAGTTTAATGGAAATAGTTACCAATAGGTCACATATGAGGTGTACTCTGCCAAAATAGATTACACCTCATATGTGATCTATCGGGAGATCTCCCATATCAAGTATAATATTGCTTAATTAATCTTAGAATATACTTTAGGAATTTTTATTAAAATATGACTAACCATATATTATGAGTTAATGATAAGGTTGTATTAAATATTAATAGTTTAATAGTAGTATTGTTACCCTCATTGTAAATAATAAGGGATTAACCATAACATAAGGGATAAATCACTAGGTTACTATGGTCGGATTATCGTACTATATGGTTACTAATAAAAATTAGATACTGATGATATTAATTTACCTTAATAATAACTAAAAGTATTAAACATATATAGACCATTAGGTTATATTAAACTATTATTATAGTACCATAAATAATATTATCTATTATCATGGACATACATATTTACCAACTTCTAATGGTTACTCCTTTGATATTAGATAATAGTTATGGTTAATCCCTATACTATTATAGGTCTATATAATTGGGTATATAAAGTCTTATTGTATAGATTGATATTTACCTTATTTGATCCATAATTTTCCCTACAATGTCATCAGATATCATATGAGCCATTAATAGTATAATTATTAATGATATTAAAGGGTAGCCATGAAGGGGGATACATGATCATATCGACCATTTGGTGTAAAAAGGCATATAGTAATGGGTGTTATAACTAGGTAAGCATCACCCTTAACTTATATGTTTAATATTATAGGAGATTTAATTAGGATGATGTTCCTTTACCTTAATGATTATTGGGATGCTATATTGATGTTAGTTTTCATCAAGATAATTATTTATAAGCAAACATAGGGATAATATGATTATTAACAAAATGGGATATCTCCTAATTAATATCAATAATCAATTATAAGTGATTATGGAGGAATATGACCATTGACGGATAGGCCTATGTTAGACATATAACTTAGAGATGTTCAATATCAAGTATTAATAAGATAAATAGTTGAATGTTTATCTCTTTAGTTAACACTAATGTCAATATGATCATGATAGTTATCAAGTCATTATCAAAATATTATCATTTATTTTAAGGTAATCCTAGCCAATAATGAGATATCACTTATAGTACTCCTCAATTATGGGTAATATCGAGAACTCGTATTGTACTACATAATTCCCTATCATGGAATAGCCTTAGTGTAATATGGGTTAATGTCATCATATATTAAATACATGGGTTTGAGTGTCATAACTTACCAATAGTTAACTATATGGGTAGGATTACCATAAAATACCTATAAAATACCCTCCGAGTATACTAAATTGATAAGGGCTAATCAATATGGTTTTATTAGCCCCTAAAAAGAAGCAAATTTGGGACCAACATTACATATTGATCAGCTATCTAGATACAATTTTATGTCTAAATATTTTAAGTTTGATTATGATTATTCCCTTATAATATCCCAAATTAATGGTTGGCAAATAATATATTAGTTATATTATGGTCCAATAACCTAGATCATTACCCTAGTCTATTTATGTCCTAAATAAGGGGTATTGAGGGGGATTATATGGGGATAATCACTTGGACTAGGAGATATCATATAAACATGATTCATCCAAAGGACCTATATATGTAGACCTCATTATTGGTAATCAATTAAGGACATAATTAATACCATATTAAATTGAAAATATAATCCACAATTACATTTTGGTAATATCATAACTATTATTTGATGCTTCCCATTGATATGGTAATTCCATAACGGAGAATTCTCCTAATGGGTTTAATATCATTCATAGTTGTTCATGTTGTAGGTTGATATTTCACGGATACCCTTAATTATATTGATTTAAATCACCCATTGATATGTTTAATACATATAGACTAAGCTAAAATATGGGTTATCAAAATATAACAAAGGAGAACATATATAAATGATTATGTACTATTTAGAGAAAACTATTATTTGGATAATAATTAGATAAGCCTATTTTAATGCATAAATTATATATCTTATCCACATTATGCAGTAACTAGGTGCTTTAAACTCAACTCTCTAGTATCTCCTAGTTAAGAGTTATATAAATTAATGAGTATATCTAACGCATTACTAGAGGATAGTTCTATTATCCCCATTTTGTAACCATTATAGGTTACCATTAGTATATTATCAAGTCACTCGTTCAACAAGTGATCAACTATGTTAATTTTAAACTTTTATCTCTTAAAGGATATGTCCGAATAGGTTGTTAAAAAAGAATTTGACTTTATCTACCCGACTAGCATATTACAACTATAATGGGGCTAATAAGATAGTGTCATAACTCGGTTAAACATTAGTTCCATATAATCATCTATAAAAGGATTAACGAACCCTTCCTTTCTCTATTGGGAACGATATGATATTAAGGATGGATAATTGATTAGAATGAGCTAGTTTGCCTTTTAATTCAAATTAATCCAGTGATATAGTGGGTAGATAAATAATAACAAATAGGGAGTAAACTATGAATATACAGAGTGATAATCATATCCACTCTACATGCGGACTATGTTATACAAAATAACGTTACTAAGAGAAACCTAATCATAGTAATATAGATAGGGACTATGTTATCAGCTTAAATATGGCCCATCTATGAGCATAATAATGTTATCTAAATATGTATATACATTATTGATATCATACTATGAGGATCCATCATATAAATGGAATAGAATTTATGTGTTATATCCTATTTATCATATCTAATAATCTCACTATTACCTATTTGGTATTGTTCTTTTCACTATGATATTATCATAATGGAGTATACTCTCCATGGTTCCTTGTATAAAATTATTATGATGGTCTACTCTTATTAGAATGAATATACGGTAATAACGAGTTTTGAGGATATGTCAATTCATAAGAACATTTAATCCAAAATTTCGTTATGGATATTGGTAGGTCCAATAAAGGGATGTATGGTCCCATGTATGGACAAGTATTTAACAATTTTAGACTTAAGTATTATATCATGGATACTCTCATGACCATCTGATTATTGGTAGTTCAATTATCATTTTTATCATATCATCAAGTAATGTAATAATCAAAATGATAATGAAGTATGATAACAATATCTCCCTGCCTAACAATACGAGCTTTCTCGTATGATCATCCTTGTTTAATACCTATAGCTCAAATTCCTCCCGACTCTTATTAATAATGGTTATAAAAATAATCAAATATAATATTAGCCTATATATTTGATAACCACCATAATTATGATTCCTAATATAGTAGTCTACCTATAATTATTGATCATGGGTCCATATTAAGTAATGAGAGAATAATAAGGGTCCTATACAATTAACCTAAAATATAATAATTTCCAGTCACCATATTACGAGAACCTATGATACTCATTAAGAGGAATATATTTAAGTGGCCATAAATATTGTAAGTCATAAGAGGTCATTCCCCTTATTAATATTACGTGGAACCATTAGTCCTAAGCATAGAATCTATTATGGAAACTAACTAAATAGTTATCTCTATATACCCTATAACATAAGTATTAAAGCTATCCAATATGTGTTAGGCCAATGGACTAATTAATTAGAACCATGTGAGGATCCTACTAATACTCTCCACGGCCTAACATACTTATATGAATAACTTGAAGATACCACTAATGGGCTCCACTTAGGATAAAGATGCTATATATCGGGTACATACCAATATTTCCTTGGCTAACAATATGAGCTTTCCTGTATGATCAACCTTGTTTAATACCTATAGCTCAAATTCCTCCCTAACTCTTATTAACTTATATATTTGATAACCACTACAATTATAATTCCTAATATAGTGGTCTACCTATAATTAGTTGTCATAGGGCCATATTAAGTCATGGGAGAACAATAAGGGTCTTATACAATTAACCTAAAATATAATACGAATGTTATATTTCCCTAGGTATAGACTAATATTTTAGTAAAGTTGAAGGCCTTTTCTAATTCCTTCTTATATTATTTTTTAACTCTAATTAACTAACCTTAATTATCATAATATAACCCACATTTTATTAATGGTTAAGATTACCTTTGATTTATTGTTATTTAGGGTTGTAAATATCCTATGATACTATAAGATACACGAGGGGATACGTAAACTATAATACTATAACCTATTCTTAATGAGGGAGGGTACCTATAGCTTCACTATTAGGAGTAATAGAGATACCTAATTACAAGGTATATAGTAATAGTTGGACCATTCTAACCAAGCTACATGTATTTTATTAATTATGCTCATAGACATAAGGTAGGATGGAGGATACTATATAATAAGTTAGTATCGTAATAGTTATGTGGTTATTAATTACTTAAAGATACCCATCAAAAGTAATATCACCCAAGGACTATTATCTCCTTTGTAATATCACTTTATGTAGAGGTTGGCAATATGTATTTGATAAATAACCTCTATATGTTTTGCATGATGATAATGAAACTTTTTGAATGGGTGATATCACAAAGGGGAGAGAGTGACTACGAATAGATAACTAGTTATTACTCATATGATAACTCTATTTCTCGATCCTTACTATTTCAAGAGTGGTTGATATTGACAGGGAGTTTTCTCTACAAGATTGTGTATAATATCCCTATAATATGACTTGACATGTTAATATACCAACAAATAACCCTATGGTATGCTTCATGAATTATAATCAGTACTTATTATCAATATGGTCTTCTCGACATCCCTAGTAATGGGATTTATCACACGAGTAGGGATATTTACAATAATATTATTTCTTAGCTTTTTGACCTCTTAATTCCAGCCCTTACCATTTAAATTTATCAGAGTTAGTGTGACAAGTTAATCCCCTCTGGAGAGGCTAATACTCTCCTCATTAGTTAGGCCTATCGTAGGCTAATAATGGTGTACTATATATCATACTATAATTATGTTAATTATCAATAATCGTTATGATAACAAAAGTGTATAATTATCCTTGCCAATAACCTAATTATAAATAAGGACGATAAGGGATAATCCCATTAAAACAATGATATTAATTGTATATACTAATAATAAGGATTTGGCCTCATTAGCAATATATAGATATGGTATTTAAGATACTGATAGTTAAAATAGAAGAGTATGATAGAAGAGTAGGCCACTCTGAAGAATTATATATGAATAACTCTTATCAATTCGCTTTTAATCCCATGTTACATATATTTAGTGTAATTATTAATATTA